CAGGAAGGTGTCCAGACGGGTCTTGAATGTCTCCAGAGAAGGAGACTCCACACCCTCCCTGGGCAGCCTGTCCCAGGGCTCTGGCACCCTCACTGGAAAGAAGTTTCTTCTCCAGTTGAAGCAGAACCTCCTGTGTTCCAGCTCACACCCATTGCCCCTTGTCCTACCATTGGGCATCACTGAGAAGAGCCTGGCTCCATCCTCCTGACATTCACCCTGAACATATTTATAAACATTAATGAGGTCACCCCTCAGTCTCCTCTTCTCCAAGCTAAAGAGCCCCAGCTCCCTCAGCCTTTCCTCAGCAGGGAGATGCTCCACTCCCTTGATTCCACCCACGCCAGACCAGTGATACTGGTGTATTTGTCCTGCCCAGTCCTAGGTGCAAAGTTGAAGAAGGTGCAAGTGAAGCTGCCTTTAGATTTGGCTGCTGTGAGAGAGCTGCTCGTGTTTTGAGCTTGTGTCTTTGTAAAGGTGAGAGTGAGTGATAATCTTTGTGCCTTTAGGAGAAGAAGGAATGACTCTTAAGAGGCTGAGAGTGGTGGCATTCACTTTATGAGGACAAAGGAAGGTTGAACCTCCCCAGATCTGCGCATTTGCTGCCCAAATGCCACTGGCAACATATTTATTTTTCATGCCAAATGAGGAAGAACGTGAGGAAGCCTTTTTCAGCCACCATCTCTGTTCCCTGTTGGTGACACTGCTCAAGGTGTTGGCTGTTGCAAACATGTTGAAGCTGACTCTAACCCTGAACTTTGTGGAGGAAGTTCTCGCCTTGGCCTGAACATTTTGCTAACAAAACACACCAGAGTTTGGCAGGAAACACGCAGAAGCCACAAGTTCCGGCGGCTTTTAAACCAGCGCTGCCGTTTTGAAGACCTGCTGCTGATCTGGAGAGCTCTGGTTTGCAGGTTAGAGGTTTGGCAGCTCCAACTTACACAGCTGTGTCCCCTCACTGCTGTCCCCTCGCTGGCCACGCTGGCCAACGTGGCTACCTCTGATGATCTGGCTGGTTTATGGCGAGTAGAAGCAGCTGCTAATGAAGATTCAAGTTTGGCTACTCCACCTCATGCCCCAAGGCCTTGGCGTTCCTCCAGCTCCTAGAAATCAGAGTGAGAAGGGATGGAAGAGGAACAGATTGTCCCAGACTTCTCACACCTTCCTGTGAGACCCACTGCTGTTGACAACTGCCTATCAGGGCAGGTGAACCCCAGGTCTGATCCAGACTGGGAATTCCCTTGCTCCCTTGTTGGTCTGTTCAACCAAGGCCCAAGGGACAGGACAAGAGGAAATGGGCTCCAGTTGTGGCCAGGGCAGTTGAGATGGGATGTGAGGAAGAATTTCTTTGCTGAAAGGGTTCTGAGGCATTGGAAGGGGTTTCCCAGGGCAGTGGTGGAGTCCCCATCCCTGGAGGGATTGAAGAGTCGTGTAGACACAGTGCTGAGGGACATGGGTTAGTCGGGGACTGGTCAGTGTTGGGTTCATGGTTGGACTTGATGATCATAAAAGGCTTTTCTAATCCAGGCTGGATTTTTCTGGAATTCTGTGATTCCAGCCACCCAGGTTGGACACCTGGATGCAGAGTGGCCCAAACTGGGTTTGCTTTTGAAAATCCTGACCGGTGTTGCCGGTATCTTTTTTAGCAGCTGACATATGCTAGAAAAATTAAGGGCTCGATCCAAAGTCTGCTGACGTCAATGGAAATACTCTTGTTGTCATCAGAGGGGCTTGGATCCACGCCTACCTTCCACTTCTTTATTTCAGACTGCAATCTGTCAGGGGTGGAAAGGTCTTTTCTTTTTCTACTTACAGACTTTATCACGTCTTTGGAAGGTTTTGCTTCCTCGGCGATTGTGAAGTTGAGGATGCAGAGTACGGAACACTTTGGAGAACAGGCGCAAACCCATTCAAGGCTGCGCACGTTCTTTCCACGTCGCTGGACCCAAGCCAGGCTGCAGCTCGGGTTTAAGCATCTGTGTCGCGTGTGAGGGACATGGTGGCCTTGTGACGTGCTGTGACTCCTCAGTACCTGCTCTGACCAGAATCAGAGCTTGAGACCTCCGTGAGCTGCTCAGGGTGGCCCAGCTCATCTCTTCCAGAGGGCTCTGGACAAAGTCCTCTCTTCAAGGAGCGTCTGGATGACCCTCTTAGTCATATGGTTTAGTTTTAAGTAGTCCTGTGAGGAGCAGGGAGTGGGACTCAATGGTCTCTATGGGTCCCTTCCAACTTGAGATACTCTATGATAGGTTGCCCAAGGAAGTTGTGGATGACCCCTCCCTGGAAGTGTTCTTGGCCAGGTTGGATGAGGCTTTGAGCAACCTGGTCTAGTGGAAGGTGTCCCTGCTGATGGCAGGGGGGTTGGGACTGGATGAGCTTTAAGGTCCCTTCCAATCCAAACCATTCTATGATTCTATGATGGCCATGAGCTTTGGGGTTTGATGTGTGAGGGTTTTGAATTCACCTTTCATGGGCAAACCCAGGAAACTCTGCTTTGCTTTTCGATGGGAACAAAGCCCTTGGAGCCCAGTTCATTGTCCCCTTCCCAGGTGGGACATTCATGAGCAGGCTGACAAAGAGTGACCCTGAATAACAGCCCTCCTGCAAAGCTGTGACTGTGGAGGTAGGAGGGGCTGGATTTGGGAGGCAAGTGTGGCCCTGCTCATCTGCCAGGGTCATCTGCTGTTAGGAGAACCCCCCTTTCCCCATGGCATTCTTGTTGATTGGCTCCGTTGGCCAAAATCTAAAGGACAATTATATTCTGTGTGACCGTGACGCCGTTTCTGGCCGTTGCGTAGCCGTGTGCCGTTACAGAGCTGCTGTTTCACACCCTGGATCTGGCTATTGGGTCAAATCCATCCCATTTCTCTAAGGACCTCCAGCACTACCAACCTTGCAGCCTCTTGGGGCTCCTGAGGATTTTATCCCTATGGGGACCGTTGCTCCCATGGGGATCTGCAGATCATACAGCAAGGCAGGCTGGCTTCCTCTCCTCGTTCTGTGTGTGTATATATAGACCACAAAACCCTCCAGAGTAAAAGGAGCGGTGGGTGGAAGGCGAGATATTATTATCTTCACCTGCTGCTGCCGACCAAAGAAATAAAGAGACAGATGACAGGAAATGAGGACTTCAAAAATAGACAGCTTTAATGTCAAAACCTTCGGGGATTAGCGAGAGCACCGTAGAAGAAACAGAGAAACTCTCACGCGAGTCACCGTGTGCTTTGAGTCCACGTCGAGGGAGGAAGCAGGCTGAGAAACAATTCTGTATTTACTCTTTGTGCCCTTGGCAGATGAGCCAGAGGAAAACAAAAACTGACCAAAGAAACGGCCTCCCAGTACCTGGAGGGGCTACAAGAAAGCTGGGGAAGGACTTTTCATAAGGACAACTAATGACAAAACAAGGGGAAATGGGTTTAAGATGAAAGAGGGGAGGTTTAGATGAGATATTAGGAAGAAGTTCTTCACTGTGAGGGTGGTCAGACACTGG